ATGATTGTCAAGCACTCGGACACAGCGTTTCTGGAAATGGTGAGGCCCTGCCAAGATAGGATGCAGGGAGTGGTCACTGTTCTCACTCCCCTGAGGAAGCAAAATCATGATGCCAGGGGAGTTAGTTGCCCTGGATGCTCGGGCCAGTGCTGTGGAAAAGTCAGAATTCTAGCCCAGGGTTGTGTGACTCCCACACAGCTCTTAATCCCGTATGACCCAAATTAAAAACACCCAAGAAGAGCTGGGTGATGACACAGTGGAGTCTGCTGAATTGATGAGATTCTGCAATGACCTTTTCCAAGGGATTCTAAGTGAAGAAGAGAATCATTGTGAGAATATACAGGAAGCTACAGAATTAGTCAAATTTACTATATTAATTGAGGGTGGAATTAGATTTCCAAGCAAAAGTGAGAGTCTATTGCTAACTGTTCCTCTCTTCAGGAAAATAAGTTTTAAAAATGGACCTTAAGCAGAAGTTGGTTAAGTATAACTCTAAAGAAAGATGGGTACAAAGTAACAAATGTAGTCTCTTCTTGGTTTCACTTATGCTGCTGGCAGCAAAAGTAACTTAAGAGAGAGAGGGTTTATTTCTTTTCTTTTTTTTTTGGTTTTTCGAGACAGGGTTTCTCTGTGTAGCTTTGCGCCTTTCCTGGAACTCGCTCTATAGACCAGGCTGGGCTCGAACTTACAGAGATCCGTCTGCCTCTGCCTCCCAAGTGCTGGGATTAAAGGCGTGTGCCACCACCGCCCAGTGAGGGTTTATTTCTTATCACGGTCCTCCGTGGTCCCCCTGGGTCACAGTGGCAGGAGCTCGAGATGGCTATCATATCACATCCACAGTCGGGAGCAGAGAGAAATACACACATGTAGCATGCTTATTTGCTTGCTTATGCTCAACACCGTTTCTCTACTTGTATGCTGTTCAGGAATCCCTGCCTTGGGAATGGTACTGCCCGAAGCGGGCTGGGACTTCCCAAATCAATCAACTTAATTAATACAATTTCTCATTGATACACTCATGGGCCACCCCAACATAGACAATCCTTCATTGGGAATCTCTTCCCAGGTCATTCTAGGCTGTGTCAATAACCATCATAGTCTCCTAGATGGGGCATAGGAACAGGTGGAATGGCAATGTTATCATGTAGGAGAAGGGATTGGAGAAGAAGCTTTCTATGTTCCTTTTGTTACTTGAGAAAAAAAGAGAACCTTGATAATAAAACTTTACATTTATTTTAAATAAGAGAAATAGCGTGGAAATGGCCAAAGCAGTAGGAGAGGGAATGAACATAAATAGATCAGTTTTAGGTTTAAACAATGGCTCGCAGTGGCCAAGAGCACTGGCTGTTCTTGCAGAAGACCTAAGTTCCGTTCCCAGCACCAGATGGCGACTCACAGCTGCTGTAGCTCTTAATTCCAGGGAGCCTGATGCCCTCTTCTGGCGTCCACTGGCACTGCACACATGTAGTGCATAATATGTAGAGAGGGACACCTATACACATAAAATAATAAGGAGTAAAATTAGAGCCTGGGACGGAGGTGAAAAAAGCTAGCAAAGCAACAGGAAGTGTAAAATCTAGAGGGAGTAATGAAATAACTCACCCAAAGCAATTGTGTGTATTTATAAATACATTTACACACACACTGAAATGATTGATAGTAATCGGCTGGAATGAGACATATTAATCAAAAACTAATAAGAATCTGGGAAAAATTAAAATAAAACAAATAAGATTTTAGACAGAGAGCCTTATTGGGGATGACGGAGGTTTATTATATGATATTGAATTCACAGGAAAGGCATAATGATGATAAACATATGTACCTAGTAAAATAGCCTCAAAATAAATAAATGGCGATGAGGGAAACCGACAAATCCATTTCAGTGCATGAGTTTGATTTACCTTTCTCAGTAATTTGTAAGTCAATGACAAAATTGTGTGTATGTGTGTGTGTGTGTGTGTGTGTGTGTTCGTTCCAGAGCTCTGCATGTAACAGGTAACATGTGCTTTTAGGTACGCAAAGGGACATTTACCAATGTTACCTTGGTCTCTGCCGTCTCAAAGGCTAACAAACCAGAGTGTTAAAAGTCAGTGTTGTAATAGAACTTACTCTCTTGCCAAACTGCAATAAAATTAAAAACGTGTAGTGCCAGGAGGATAGATTAAAATAAACCACACGCCATCAATTATAAATTTGAAAGTTTCAAAAACAGCTTTGAGGAAGTCCTTCTCTTGGGGTCAAATTTCAGTTTGTGGTATTGAGCACTTCTGAAATTCCCGCTCTCACCTGGGCCTGCTTTATAAATGGACTCTGCCCTCACCAGGAGGCCGAATGTTTAGTCCTGTTTTCCTAGGCTCCTCTTAGGTACAGATAGGCTCACTTGCCCCAGGTCTGTTTTTGTTAACAAAGACCTTACGCTGGGCCTTTGTTATGGCTTGGGAGCACTTTTTATTTTATTGTATATTCCACATTTTTCATAAGCAAGAGTGACTTTTCTGTTGCGAAGGCACAGTATTTCTCCTTGATAAGTCTTCATCAATTCTGATCATGTTTAATCTTATTCTCCAGAAGGGCTTTTGAACTGGAAGTGTTTGCCCATGCCAGGGGTTGTGTTTCACGATGGCACAGTCTGCCATTGACAACACAGTAGTCTTTTTCCTAATTTCAGTCAATATCTATTAATATTTTCCTGGCAGCTGATGAACTTAACTGGATCAGAATCTTGTTTCATGGAACTAGAAGAAAGATTTTCTTTTTCTTTTCCTTTTTGCATGTGAATTCATTTATTGTGTAGGCAGATGGGGTGCTCCACAGCTAGTGTGGGAGTGTCAGAGGAGAACTTGGATGAGTCACTTCTCTCCCATCACCACGTGGGTCCTGGGGATCAAACTCAGGTTGTCAGTCTTGGCAGCCAGTGTCATCACACCAGACACAGAAAGTCTTTATGACTTTTCCCCGCCTTGCTCACATGTGTCTCTTCCACACATAGGACTTAAAAATAACATAATCAGCAACTCTATATGATGGTGTGCTTATACGTTTTAAGATCCAGTTGGTTGAAATAGAGTTCATAAACCTATAGACTGTTGATCATGTGATTCAAGATACAGGAAAGGCCGGGGAGCTCTGGCCCTTCCCAGTGACGTGGGTCCTTGCTCTTTTGCTGTCCTTGGAACCATAATGACACGACATGGCTGTTTCCAAAACAGTCTAGCTTCCCAGGAGGAGGATGAACACACAGTTTCTTATCTTCGTTGGCTTATGATTCATTCAACAGCAGCACCTCCAAGAGGCTCTTAAAATAAGAGATAAATCAAGCTTTTGTGTACACAGGAAGAGGCAGCCCTGGAAATTAAATTGATTATTTCATTTTAGCAGCGTTGACTATGCAAACCCTCTGTGTGGGCGCTTTCCTTGCTCGAGTTTGTTACTGTTGGCCGAGTGTTTTCACACACATTATCTCACCGACTTTTCAAACCGCCCCCCCAACAGTTCATTTAATTAGCCATAGGAAAATAAGACTAATTCCAGAGAAGGCAGTGTTTACACCCGCTAAGAGGGGAAGCCAGAGCCCAAACACGCATGCTCTGACTCCCAAGAGAGTCTTCCGTTTCCATCACTGAGTTCTCTGTGCTTGCTGTAACTAAAGATACCTTTCCACGCCTCAGAAATTCCTTATGACTCTGAAATTCCACATTGTAAAGCGTGACCTTACCAAGGTGCTCATGGTTCTCCTCCATCTGACCCCAACTTCCATTTCCATCCCTCATCTCCATCCTCATCTACACCTCCCATCTCCATCCCTCATCTCCATCCTCATCTACACCTCCCATCTCCATCCCTCATCTTCATCCCTCATCTCCATCCTCCATCTCCATCCTCCATCTACACCTCCCATCTCCATCCCTCATCTTCATCCCTCATCTCCATCCTCCATCTCCATCCTCCATCTACACCTCCCATCTCCATCCCTCATCTCCATCCTCATCTTCATCCCTCATCTCCATCCTCCATCTACACCTCCCATCTCCATCCCTCATCTCCATCCTCATCTTCATCCCTCATCTCCATCCTCCATCTACACCTTCCATCTCCGTTCTTCATCTGCCTCCTCCATTTCTATCCCCCATCCCATGCCTCACTTTCATTCTTCCTCTTCATCTCTAGTCCCCATTTCCACTCCCTGAGAAAACCCACGGACATTGGAGCCACATTACCTCCAAGAGGGTTTTGAGTCACCTATACTTTATTTCAAATCCCTGGTTAGTAGTTTGCACAAATAGTGTTATTATTTTATTCTTGAGTGTCTATGTGTGTGTATATGTGGGGATGTATGTGGAGGCCAGAGGACTTCTGGAACTCATCAAATATGTTAGGCTGACTCACCAGTGAGCCCCAGGGCTCACTGTCTTTGCTTCCCCTACTCTGGGCTTTCAAGTGAATGCCACCACACCCACCTTTTTTCTTAAGTAGGTTCTGGGAATTGAACTCAGTTCTTCATACTTGCACAGCAGACACTTTCTAGACTGAGCCATCTCCCCAGTCCTATTTATATTTTTTGTAACCTGTAATAAGCACTCTCTTGATGATGTTTCATAACTCTATCTTTTATATAAACACACCAGTAGTTTTTCAAGGGATGCCTTTTAGTCTTGTATATTTTTAAATGAATAAATAAAGTGAAAATAACTTAAAATGAACTCAGATATCTACAGGAAACTGTCTGAGCCACAGCAGCGGCAGATCAAGTTCTCATCAACTTGGAGGATGCTTCACTTTGAGAATGGAGATCTGTGGATGGGGCTCTCTTTTGTCACTCCCCAAGATACTGTTTCTCTTGCTGTGACCTACTGAGCTTGGCCACAGGCCTGTGCTTCTGGAGCTGTGAGGGAGGGAGGCTGCTCTAAGGCTGTGGCGGATGTGCGATTCCACTGGGGTGCCCTCTGCTTGGAGCTTTGCCTTCAGGAATGACTGAGTCTGTCTTTATTCCCTTTTAGATCCTACTCTATGGAGCACAGACCATGTCCGACAGTGGTTGGAATGGGCGGTGAAAGAATACGGCCTTCTGGACGTGGACGTCTTATTATTTCAGAATATTGACGGGAAGGAGCTGTGCAAGATGACAAAAGATGACTTCCAGAGGCTCACTCCAAGCTACAATGCAGACATCCTTCTCTCACATCTCCACTACCTCAGAGAGAGTAAGCTGCCCGCCCTCAGTAGCCATACTTGTTGCCATGGTTACAGACCCAACTTTAGTAGGTTCGGACGGGGTGGTCCCCAGCATCCCCTTGCTCTCACTCAATGCCCATGTCCGACCTGAGAGGACCCCATAATAGAGCTTAGAGCTTCGTGATGTAGACGAACACCACAGTCTCTGCTGTGGGCAAGGTAGCAGCGTTCTCCCTCCTCCTGTGTTCCCAAGGCCAGGAAAATGGAATGTTGTAGAGAAGTGGTCGCACACTCAGTATTTTCTATGACGTTCCAGACTAGAAGGCAGGAAAGACTCCTCCTGGACGGGAGTGTGGGGAGTTATCTTCGTGAGAGCCGTGTGAAGCCCCTCCCCCATCCAACCTGAACACACTGTTGATAGAGTAGGTGGCTTATTGGTCAGGATAGGCATAAGTCAGAAGATTGCTGCATGCTGGAGTGATGGCAGCTCTGAGCATGGTCCAAAAGGATCCCAAATACAGGCGGGTGGGGTGACTCCCTAGGGGCCCTTCTCTCCTGTATGAAGTCATCCCTTTTCATATTTACCTCGTTCACCAGTGTCAGGGGTTTAGATAGTTCCAGCACCCCTAGGTGAGGGTAGGGAGGTATGTTGTCCTTTCTTTTCCTTTGGACTCCGTTTGTTTTTGAGAAAGGTCATTCTCTGTCTTTCCGTCTCAACGTTGACTCTGTTTTGTTTTGTAGCTCCCCTTCCACATTTGACTTCCGATGACGTGGATAAGGCTTTACAAAACTCTCCACGGTTAATGCATGCTAGAAACACAGGTAATGCTAGCCTTTCCCTCCCCAGGACAAGCATAGGTCTCTAGATGCATGCTTTCAAATGAAATGCACAGGTTAGAGGTTAGAGGTTGGAGGTTAGAAGGCAGATGCAGAGGTGAAGGACGGTGAGGCTGTTGGGTATCACTTCCTGTCATTTCCACCACAACCTCCGTAGCCATGAGAGGGTTTTTGTTTTTGTTGTGTTTTGTTTTGTTGTGTTTTTGGACCAATTGTACAAATCCCCCAACATGTCCCACTGTTAGTCCCAGTCCATCCACCAGTCCTGTCGCCTGTGGAGATGAAAAGCTCCCTGGTATACAGTTCCCCCCAACCCCACGGGTCTGTTGTTCTCCATTGCCATTCCTAAAGCAGTGTTTCCTAAGACTCCTTGGTGTTTCTCAGACAGTTTTGGGCTATTGGACTTGCCTTGACTTAATCTTCTGCACAGATTTGTATGTTTGCACAGGGCCATGGAAGGAATATTTCCTGCTCTTTTCAAACCTTTATTCCCAGGGAAACTCTGCCACCACTTCAGAGAATACAAAACCGACCCCTAAAATCCAGCACCTTCCTTCCTGTCTCTGACTCCAGGTTCTTCGTGTGTGTCTGTGGCATGCCTGAGTCTAGCAGGGCTTAACCAAGGCCCTTGATTGTGCCTAACCTCCCCTCCTGCTCTCAGTTTGCTTGGGGTTCTCTGTGGATAAATGTGTTACTCGTGTTCCATAGACAGATCTTCCCCTCCTGGTGGTGTCGCTGGTGGATACATGGCCACTTGCTGCTCACCTACTGGGTTAGCCTAGGACCACTCCCTACCATGTCCTCCAGGGCCCAGCTAGGGCGGACAGCAGCAAGTGCCGGGAAAGCTCTGACTCCTCGTAAGAAAGCCGGCCAGCCCGACCACGGGTCTCCCCAGCTGAGCAAGACAGCAGCTTACAAAATACTCTCCTTTTGTTTTAAAGTGTCCAATCTCATATGAACTGAGCCTCAGTTCTTTATTTATAATAAACAACTGGTTTGCCTTAGTCTTCGGCGTCCCAACAGGATGCTTTTGACGTCACGTGAAGCTCTTTAACCTGTTCCTTCTCAGTCTGCATGCATCACACATATCAACCTGCTAATGACCTTGTGGCCAAAATTAGCAAAGAGCCATCCCCTTCTCTGAGCTACATGGGGATTCTCACATCATGTTCATTTAGAAATTCTAAATTCTAAACAGTGACTAAATGTTCCACAAAAGTTCAGAGTTCGTAGTTTTACTGTCGCTACACAGAGAGGCGATGCAAAGACAAGGATCATGAAGTTTCCAAAGGACCTAATGCCGAAGGGGAAATTTCCTCATCTGGGGAGATGACCAGTGATTGAGGAAAATAAGGAGAACCATGTATTTGAATAGAGATATGGATTAATTCTGAATACAAGCCATAGAGTGTTAGGAAAAATATGTATAAATGTTTCCGAGATCTGCTTTCCAAGATCTGTTAAGATATTTTGTGACTCATATACGATTAGTAGTAAGTAAATAGCCATGCCATGAATAGATCTTAATAAAATAAGATCGCTGGTGGGACACAGCGGGGATCCATCAAGAAGCTTACAAAAACAATAATAAACAAAGCACAGGGGAGACTCGTGTTCACATTCAGGATCCAAGAGTCTGACCCAGGGCTTCTCTTTACCCAGAACTCTACTGACATTGCAAGGCCTCTCCTAACATTCCAGGTGAGGTCGGTTAGCACAGATGTTCAGGTGAACAGTCACCACAAAGGACCTTCACACTGTGTCTTTCCTTTTGTCTGCAGGGGGTGCAGCTTTTATATTCCCAAATACTTCAGTATATCCCGAAGCTACGCAAAGAATTACAACTAGGCCAGGTACGCTAACACACCCCCGCGGGATTCCTTCATTGAGAGACTCCCAGATGTCCAGTTTAGACCCAGGACCGCAGCCCATGACCCAGGAGCATGACTTGGACCTGAAATGCAGTGCCTTGCAGTCAATCTTTTCCCTGTCCCTGTTGATGTGCAACCAAAATGCAGTTGGATTGCTGCATTCAGAGACCGCAGTAGAGGGGAGCAAGCCGTGGAGTCAGAAACAGATAAGGGCCTTACGTAGTAGCTTTGAATATTTGGGCCAGCGCCTAAGATAGGAGCCCCTTGTACCATCAAGTTAAGGGAAGGATTGATGTACGATCTGTCTGTCCCTTCTGAGGGGAGAGCAACTCCAAAATCAGTAGCGACTGATTCTTACCCCCCATTTCTCAGAGGGGAAGCATCCAGCATCTAATATTTACATCAGAGTCATACTTTATGTCTTTTCTGATGATTTAATTAGGTAATTAATTTACATATCATTCATGTAAAAATAAACATTTATCTAATGCCAGTCACAGAGTTAGCCTCTGGGAAAGGAAAGCTGAACCAGACTCTAAGCACTGTCTCTCTTCAGAATGCTCGCTTGCACATTCCACTAGGTTTGTGGGTGGTTGAGAGCCTTGTCCGGGTCTGGCAATGGGGAGTTGCAGTAAGCTGGTAGGAAGGTTTAGCACAAAGTTCTAGAAGATAATTCAGTGGTGTTACCTGGAGCCAGAGAGAGCCAAGACTTTATCAGATTAAGCACTAGAGCAGGCAACAGAGGTGCTGGAGTCTGGAGGCCTGGGAGTGGAAGGAGTCAGACCCGTGTGAACACAACCAGGAGGCCTTCAGGGAACTGGGCAGGGAGGAGAGGACAATGTGAACTAGGGATCTGTCACTCTTAAACACCACCCCCTCGTGGGGGCCATGACTACCCTGTGTGTTAGAATTCCTCATGCTGTCGTGAACACTGAGGGGATCCTAGTTCCAGAAAGCACAGTGGATTTCCCATACTCCTGCCTTGGTCCAGCATACATGTCTTCCTCCGCCCAGGCTGCCTCTCCATGACTCTTTGCACGTCCAGCCTGCATGAGTCTAGCTGACCTGGTCCCCAGGCTCGGAAGCTCTTTCTTTTGAGGGAGGAAGACAAACTAGGGCTGGGGACTGGCTGAATGGTGGTGACAGGGACACTTCCTGGAGCGCTTTCATACCCTTGACCACATCCTGTAGCTTCTCTGGCTTGAGAGAGAAAGCTTACTTCTTTGTTCCTAGAAACTACGTGAAAATGCCCAGCTAAAGTCCCCTGTCATGTTGGAGGTCAGTAAAGTAATGGAACAGACCCAGTGTCTGCAGTTAACTCAGATGGCCCCGAAGAGTACCACCAAGAGCTTTGAGAATGAAGGGCAGAGGCGTGCCCTTTCCCTGGCTCCGGGACTTTCTGACCTTGCTACCTACAAGTGCATCTTGTGGGACGGACACACAAGGGAGGGTGTGAATGGACGTGAATGATTCCGGGGCTCTTTCAAAAATGCTTCTACCCATAGCTAAAAATAAGTAAAAGCTCCCCACAGAACATTTGGCCTTTAAGATTAATTAGCCAATTTAAAAACTATGTTTGTTTAAAGTCACCTCAGGAATGCTGCTGGCTGGATTTCAAGGCCAGGGTTTGTGAGCCGCTGTGGTAAGCTGGTAGGCGAGACAGGACAAGGGGCCCTGTCGCAACTTCGCTTGTAGGGTGGTGGGGTGACTGTCTGGGTTCATTTTCTGAACCAATTAAAAAATCCAAAGGGGTGCAATAGGTGGCAGCAGGGGGGTTTCAAACAGAGCAGACGGAAGTGGCCTGTGAAGAAAAGCACACACCCAGCAAGCAGGGAGGACCTCTCCAGGGTGGGGCGGGGGCTTCTTGAGAGTCTGGTGGCAAAGACCCACGTTCCTGTCCTTTGTGTGTCCATACCCACTTCATTTCTCTAATTCAGTGTGAGGGACAGATGCTGGTAGGCACCTCAGAGCAAGCCAGGCTTCGGTAACTAGTCCATTTAGACTCTCTTCCACTTCACCTGTCCATTTAGACTCTCTTCCACCTTCTCTACACTAGAGCCGTTTCACCAGGGTCCCTGCAAGAAAAAATCAAAACAGATCACCAAAGCCAGAAAAACCACAGGACTTCTGTGTTTCACGAGATCAGATGAGATGGCATTCTCATCCTTTTTGCAGGATGCCTCCATCCACACCCTGTCCTCTGAATCCTGCTGCCAAATGCTTCCTCCCCACTTGATCGCCTTTCCCTCTGCCTCCAGTCACCTACTTCTGAGTTACCACCCCCAGTCTACCTACCCACCCTCCCTCCCTCCTTCCCTCCCTCCCTCCCTCCCTCCTTCTCCCTTCCCTCCCTCCTTCCCCCTTCCCTCCCTCCTTCCTTCCTCCCTGCTCCCTCCTTCCTCCCTGCTCCCTCCCTCCTTCCTCCCTCCCTCCCTCCCTCCTTCCTCCCTCCCTCCCTGCCTTCCTGCCTTCTTTCCTTCCTTCCCTCCCTCCTTCCCCCTTCCCTCCCTCCTTCCTTCCTCCCTCCCTCCCTCCTTCCTCCCTGCTCCCTCCTTCCTCCCTGCTCCCTCCTTCCTCCCTCCCTCCTTCCTCCCTCCCTCCTTCCCTCCTCCCTCCCTTCCATCTTTTTTTATGACCACACTTCTGCAAAGGTTTATTCATCTGAGAGCTGTGCACCCACAGGCCGTGCACGACCCGTGGGCTCCGTTCACCTCCCGCCTCTGTGCTGTAGCCATCTCTTCCATGCTTGTGGCTTTGCTCTCCACACTTCTACATTAAGACCACAGCTTCTTCCCCTCATCTTTGTTGAATGAGCACCTGGATTGGTCCCCTACCAGGATGCTGGCACATCTTGTGTGTTCTGTGATTTGGTGACCATTCTTTTGTTACAATCACCCAAAACCCTTCTCCCCAGCTCCTCTGTACAAACCATTTTCCTCCCCCGAGTCTGTTTCTTTTGAAGCCACAGACCCTTGAGGTCTCAGTTTAAAATGTCAAAGTCAGAGACAGGCGCCAGCCACAGAATCTCATTGGGCCGTGTGACCTTATGACATGCTACCTAGCCTGTCCTTTCATGAGCTGGTCATGGGAAATCTGGCCTATTACATGGAAGACATCAGGCAGGCTGTTCCTTTCCTCCTCCATCACCATGATAGCTCAATAGTATGATACACACCCAGGGTGTCACCAAAAGTAATTGGAGTGTGTAACTGCCACACACAGCTTTGTGTGGAGTGTGACTTTGAAGCTGGTACCTCTGGGGGGATTCCTCCATGAAGCTCTGAAATGAGTTGCTGCTGAGCATGACTGAGCTAGGTGAGCCCACAGCTGTACCCCTCAGTTGGGTGCTCTGTAAACCTTGGCCCTTAGCAGTTGGCTCATTGCATTCTTTGCTTGTCCCAAGTTCTTATACAGCCACAGAGACTTGTAAGCATAGTTAAAAGCACATGAGTATCATCCACAAACATGGTCTCTAGGTGTTGATACAGGGGTGAAGAAGAATTTAGGAAGATCTGGATGAAGAAGATAGTGCAGGTTAATTACCCGAAGGCTGAATCTAAAAATTCCTGTTTTCCAGAGCTTTGCAGATTGGTTCTAGGCAGTAACTCTCTCCGACTTACTGCCATGTTTTCCTCATTAGCTTCAAATGCGTGAGAGGAGACCCATCCATTCCTTCCCATCTCCTTCCTTCCTCCAGGGGATCACCAGAAACTTCTTACAGGCCCTGGTGTAGATTCTGCAGAATGAGGGAGAATGTTCTGGAGAGCCAAGTCCTGGTCCTTTAAAATGCAAAGTGACTCTGTGGAGGTCACAGGAGCTGACAAGCCCCCTCCAGTGATCTGAGCCAATGGAGAATGCAGCTTAGTAGAACTTACCCCTCACTGGGGAGGGAGGCAGGATGCTGGAATGATCCTCTGATGTCTTAGGAAGAATGTGGTAGAAAGGACCTCATTCAGAATTAGGAACTGATCTCAGCTCCCCCAAAACACACAAGCTGCTCTGCGTGGGGGTCTGCACAGCCAGACAAGCCTCCCCCACTTTGTATCTCCAATGTTGTTGTTTTCATATGGATCATGGCATATACCATGTTTTAATAGCCATCCAAAGCTGCCCATGAGATTGCTTTAATAAGGTTCAGGCTTGCCAATCATTTTCAACAGCTATAAGAGCAGAGTGAATGCCAGAAAGTGACTTCCTGTGCACAAATGTGTGAGCTAATTACTTTGAAAAGACAACTTGGGGGGGGGGGGGGGAATGGGCATTAGGCTGCTCACCAAATTTAAATGTAAAATAATATACATATATTATTATTTATGTATATTATTTATGTATATTTAGAAGCCTATGCTCTTCTATCAGGCTGGGCAGCAAAGGCTCATGGGTAGTGGTCTTCTAAGCAGTCAGGGGTAGACATATGTGATGCTGGCTCTGCCGCCATCCTGATCGTTCCTCATCCCCAGAAATTTCCAAGGTCAGCATTTCCCGAGGTCATCTGCCACAGGAGGGGGCTTAGAGTCACAGCGTGTGACCAGTGGCTGATAAGGAAATATTGGCAGAGACTCTCATGAAAGAAAACAAGACCCGCGTATCTACCAGGGCAGTGTGTTTGCGAACATGTTAATCACTTGTCCATGCAAACATCTCAAATACTTGGCTGAAAATTAAACTCAGCCTGGTGGTTGTTATTTCCAGGGGAGGGTGGGACATGGCTATTCATCTTTCAAAGGATTTTATGAATAAAGAGCTTCCAAATATTAGTTCTAGTGTGGTGGTTAGTGTTCTTTTTCCAGCCACACTTCACAACCAGTGCTTTTCTGGGTGTAGTTGAGAAACTTGGGGCTCTCGGGTACTTCACCTGCCTTCTTCTAGCTCAGCTCCCATGGGCCCCTTTAGAACCTTCCATACCAGACTGTTCAACAGTTGTGGTTAGATCTGCATAGTCTGGCTAGCATTCCTGAAGTCATTATCTTTGAGAATGGAGAATTTTAGAGGAACTCTTAGAGCGGAAATTCTCTGGAGCTGGCTTTTGCACACTTCAGCACGCGTGTGAGTGGTCTGGGACCTGAGCGGGCTTCTGGCTTTACTCTGTAAGTCCAGGGTTAGAGTCTGCGTTCCTAAGCCTCAAGTGTGTCTTTGGTTGATGACCCATGGAACACACTTCTGTGATACCACCATTTTTATTTGGTAAATCGGCCTTTGTTGGTGGATCTGTCTGCCTCTGAAGTAGGTGGGATATCCCACTTACTGACTTTCTTCCTAGAATGATTTCTGTCATAAAACTCTGGTTAACCAGCTTTTAAAAAATAAATATTACTACGTTTTATTTATTTTGAGGTGTGGGTGGGGGTGTACACATGCCACGTGGAAACCAGGGGACAGCTTAGCTGAGTTGACTCTCTCCTTCTACCCTGCAGATTCTGGGGGTCCATGCCAGGTAACAAGGCTTAGAAGGAAGCCCCTTTGCCTACTCGGCCATCTCACTGAATTTTGCCCCCACATCCTGCCTTTATTTTTTTCATTTTAGAAAGAAAACCTAAACAGGTTGTGACTATATTTTCAAAATGTTTCCAGAGATGTAAGACGGAATTTAGTTGTAAATTGATTGCAGTTACAGATTTCATTCCCACATGCCATCCCGACTCTAGAAAAACTGAAGGTCCCAGAATGCAAAAGTGCCCCGAGAGAATGAGCAATAGTGGGGTTTTAAAACGGAAAACCGTCTGACTCTCCGAAGCCCAGGAGGGTAGAATTTCACAGACCACACCAGTTGCGATGGGGGCAGCCAAACAGACTGATTGAATTAAGGCCTTTCTGTGTTGGGTTTCACGTCGTTCTCTTCGGGATGTGAACATAGGAAGGGGCACACACCCGGCAGCGTGGTGGGGGTCTTTGAAAGCTGATCCACCAGATTGCCAGTTTTGAGTAAGCGTAAATGATTTACTTAAAGAGAGACCCAAAATAATTGCGCCACTCCTTCCTCCAAGTGAGAATTCTCCGTGGCCATCCCCTGTTGTGTGGCAGCAGCAAGCCTGCCGGAGTACGTGGCCATGGCTTTCAGGTGCTCTAGAGTGGCACTTGACATTGAACCAAGACCCACCAACCAAGGGAGTTTTGTTTTAAAATTCATTTAAAGTTTTGCTTTTGTTCCAAGAGAGCATCTTACCCTGGAGCCCAGACTGGTCTTGAACTTACAGCAATCCTCCTGCCTCAGCCTTTCAAGTGCCAGGATTACAGACACAAGCCTTCACACATAGATCTAGTTTGTTTTGAGGTAGCAGGGCATGTAACCGAGGCTGGCCTCAAATAGTCTGTGCAACTGATGAGGACTCTGAGCTGATTTTCTTGCCTCTACTTCCCAGGTGCTGGACTCACAGGCCTGAACCACCACACCTAGATTGCAGTTTTGAGACAGTTGTGTAATCTAATTACATGTAGAAGTAGCTTCCCTGTATACATGGTTAATAAGAGGGAGGAAAATAATGATTGTGGGATATATTTCTGAAAGAAAACTGAAATGACCTAAAAGCTTGGTGTGACAAGAGCCTCAGTGACAGAACCTCCGCTGAGAACGCAGAAATGTAGTTACTAAATTTGCAAATGCAGTGGGTAATGGCCGTCCGTGGCACAAGTAACATTATGTATAAATAAAAATAATTGGTGCGTATTTATGTCATCATTGATCGATGTGTTGTAGGACAATCCTTTCAGTCCTGAATTTGTTTCATGCAATTCATTTTAGAGAGATACTAAATTCTCGTAGGAAGCAAGAAAGAGGGTCCTTTTGAAAAACAACTAAGCCGATTAAGACTGACAATACCAGTGGGTAAGATTGTCAAGGGGAAGTGGAGGGAGCCTAGGGAGCGGCTCACAGGAGGTTAAGAAAGCAGCTCTCATTCCCAAGTAGAGGGCAGACAGCAGGAGCGTGAATGTTGCTGGGTAGATTTGGGGTGATCCCAGGCAAGAACTGATGGATTCCTATCAGGTGTGGGCTCTGAGTTCTGAAGATGATGAAAGTATAAATTCTGACCAGTCTTGTGGTAAGTCTGCCTGTGAAAGAGGTCCTATGATCTCGATTTCTGATCATAGGAAGAGGCTTTAGGAGAGTGAGCAGGAGGGGCCTGGGAGCTGACTCAGCTGTCAGGTGCTTGCTTTGGGGGGCCTGAGTTTGATCCCAGTTTCCATGTAGAGATCTGCACCTGGTGACATGTGCCTTTGCAGCTAAATCAGTGAGCCCCAATGCCCCAATGACAAAAGCTGAAAAACAAACAAAAAAGCGATGTGAATGGCACTGGAGGACAATATCCAAGGTTGGCCTCTCTAGCCTCCACATGCATGTGCACCTGCCCATATATAATACATATATAACACACACACAAGCAAAGTCTAGAAGAATCTACCAATGATAGTTTTCAGCTAAATGAAAATGAGAGTTTTATTTAGATCAATAAAATATACATACAACTATATAAAATATGCAAAGTGCAATGTATAGGTAAAACCTACATTGATTTTTTTTATATTATGTCAGTATTTATTCTAAGAAACAAATCTGTTATTTAAAAAAAAAAAGGCTGTGTTTTTCTTTAGTCCATTTATCTCTTTTTTGCAGATTTACCTTATGAGCCTCCCAGGAGAACAGCCTGGACCGGCCATGGCCACCCTGCCCCCCAGTCCAAAGGTACAGGCTCAGCCCCCACTGCCTTGAGCTGTGTCACAGGGCAGGGGTGACTATGGCCAGGGTCAGTTATCATTTCAGTGGTTGATCTGTGATCTTTGCAACATGCAGAGGGGTCCTTCCGTTGGCGACAAAACTCTTTAAGCGCAGCTCTTTTTGTTTGAGAAGTGAATGGAACAGTGACTCTCACTGGGGACAAATGGGGTTTGTTTACACGCTGGCGAGCTAACTGCTGCTTCCTCTCACGGGACTCCGCGCGGCTCCACTTCTTCTCTGGCACTTTATTTTACACCATAGTTAATTTCATTCTCTTTTGTAAGCCAGCTCAAGTTTCTCTTCATTATGTTTAGAAGTAATGGCTACAGTAGATCGTTTAAATCATGAGAAACATTTTAGAATGTTTATATTTAATGTCATTAGAGGGGGCAGTTTCTTACCACAAATGCTTCTTGTTGTAGAATAAGATTACCATGCTGACAATTAATTGATTATAAAGTGAAAAACATCAAAGACATGCAGCCCAATCTGAGCTGTGGCTAATTGTCTTTTTTTGTCCTTGTTTTTTTTTTTTGTTTGTTTGTTTGTTTGTTTTTTCAGCTGCTCAGCCATCTCCTTCCACAGTGCCCAAAACTGAAGATCAGCGTCCTCAGTTAGGTGTGTTTCAGAAGCCATCTTGGGAGCCCTAAAAAAAGGTTACAGGCTTAGCTGGGGGTCTTTAAAGTGTGTCCTCTTTAAAATGAACTTCATAACTGTCACATATGTAAGATGAGGTCTCAGTTGGAAGGATTTTACTAAACCATCTCTAAGGCCTGTGAGGTGAACGTGAGCAAACTGTTCTCGTTGCTGGAGGCTGTGCCCTTGGGACCTGTGGGTTCCGTTGCTTTGACATCCCATGGTTGTATCACGGCATCTGTGTCTGTCGAGGTGGAAATGCAGTGGAATGCTGACCTTGAACAACCTGGCCCGTGTGGCCCCAGGCTCAGCACTGCCCCACTTAGATCCTGGCATAGTGAGGGCTATGGGTTGGTGGTGGGGATCTGGGACCCCAAGCTTTCCTACAACTGTGGTGCTCCCCTGAGGTCTGGTGTGAGACCTCACCTCATGTAGGAGGTAGAAGCAGGAAAATGGGGGGCAGGGAGCATCCTCACCTCTCCACACAGTTCTGTCAGCCGGAAGTTGCATCGTACCAGACCCCTGCCCCTTTCCCAGATCTGACTTGTTTTCTTCTCTCATAGATCCTTACCAGATTTTGGGACCCACCAGCAGCCGCCTTGCTAATCCAGGTGAGTTGCCACTTGTGATCTGCTCTACAGTTACTTTAGAATTGGGACAATTTCCGAAGGAGAACTTGTACTGGTGAGAAACTTCTCCAACTGAGAAACTTGGTTTTCACGTCTCATCTCACTGAACTATTTTATTTGCCTTTATTGAAAAAAAAAATGGATCAGTTATAAATTAAGGTTTTAGCTTCAGCAAGGAAATTTATAACCTAATTGAACTTATAATGTTTCTCTAGGGTTGTGGCAACAAAGTAACACAGTCTGTGTTGGCTCAATAACATCAGTGCATTGACATAACTCTGAAGGCTGGAAATCTGAGGCTGGTGGCTGGGAGCTTCTGAGTTATGAGGAAAGAATTCGCTCTGGGCCTTTCACCCTAGCTTGGATGGCATCATCTTCCTGTGTTTCATTTAATTGTCTTTCCTCTCTATGCTTCTCTGTCCATACCCCACCCCATGTGTGTGTGTGTGTGTGTGTGTGTGTGTGTGTGTGTGTGTGTGTGTGTGTGTCTGTGAGTATGTATGTGACTGTGTGTGTCTGTGTCTGTGTGCCCATGTGGGTGTGATTGTACATGTATATGGAAGCTAGAGGATAACCTTGAGGGTTAGGGTAACAATTCAGACAATATCACACCATCTATCTGTTTTTTAAGACGGGCGCTCTCACTGGCCTGGGATTCTGTAGGTAGGCTAGACCAGCTGTTCAGTGAGCCCCAAGAATCGATCTGTCTCTGTCTCATCATGTGCTGTAGCTTGGCTTTTAAAAATCTAGGTTCTGAAGATCAGACTCAGAGACATCTCCTCAGTCTGGGACATTTCTTTTTTTAAAAGATACCAGTCATTCTGGAATAAGGACCCCAGCATGCTGGAGTATGGGCCTCTTCAGTGTCCTTAGTCTGTTTGATAACCTCTGTAAAACCCTTGTCTCTAAAAAACAGGTCACTTTCAGAGCTACTGAAACTCGGATTTCAATATATGAATTTTAGGGGACATAATTCAACCTGTCACAAACCAGATCCAATAACCAGTATTTTTAAAAAGATAATCTTACAACCATCAGACTCCAATTATGGTCAACTGTGAGGATGTATTTCTGAACTCAGACGCAGGAGGAAAACGGACTCCTCATGATACCTGGCGGAGACCCATCACCTGTCCTCACATTTTGGTGCCAACGAGCTTGTTCTGTTTGTTTGTATTCAGATCAGAACCAGCTGTGCTGCCACGAACTCCAGGGTTCCATGGCATCTGCTTCATATTCTCAGCTGTAAATTCGGTGTCAAGATGTCACAGCCACACTGCAAATGCAGGCTGGGATTTCTGTTTCATGAACCTTAAGCCAAACAGGGGTTGGAAAACACAAAAATTCAGATGCCATCCTTGCACACATCCCCACAAGAGAGTCCATTCTCGGAGAACCTGAAATACCATCATGATTGAACGACGGAGTCTGCCATGAAATTTTGATTAATGCTGATTAATTCCGTACATATGTTCGAAGCATCTCTGCAAACAGAAGGGGCTGTTTTCTTCTTTGTTTTAGCCCAGGGCTAAACAGCATGGTGCCCAGCACCTTATGTGCTTACTGGTTCATCCCTGAGATGACAAGATACAGTTGGCTCCAGGGATCTGTCACCCAGTGGAGAGGTGGGCACAGGTAGACCCAGTGATCTCTAGCCCATGGAGTCACAGCCGTTGTCTATTCTGTGGCCAACCACGGAGTGGCCAGGGCTTCCAAGCAGTCCCTCCTTGTCCCCTTCAGCCTTGGAACTGTCTCATAGCTATTCTAACGACCATAGTAGCTGTGCGGCTGGGGAGACCATCCAGTGGGCAAGGTGCTTCCTGTGCAGTGGGGAATCCCCAGCACCACATAAAAAGTCAGATGTGTATGAATCCTGTGTTTCTAGTCCCCCTGTTGCAAGAGGGGAGGCTGAAACCAGAGAATCCCCAGGAGCTCACGGGGACAGCTTGGCATACACAGCTGTGAACCACAGATGCCTCAAACAAGGTGGAAGGCAAGACAGACACCCAGGGTTATTCTCCCACTTCCACACGTACATCTGGCTGTGTGCACCTGCACTCATTCACATGAATGCACATGTATACACACATGAAGGTTTTGCATGGCTGTGTTTGGAGGTGGTGATAACTAAGCTCCCACTCCACATGGTGGCTGCCTCACAGGGCGTGTTTATACCTGTGGTTCCCCTCCAGGCTTTCTATGGCCCACAGCATTGTTATCTCCATCCTGTAGAAGAGGAGCCAGAGGCCCTTTGAGGTCAAAGAGCTTCCCCTGGGTCACAACCAAACAGGAAGGAGGCTCAGTCTGGAACCGAGTGTCTCTAAAGGCTGATTTTTGTTTTCTTTCCCCCAACACTTCTGGAAGATGAGCTTGAGGGGAGGAGGGAAGCTTTGAAAACGTGAGCTGTGGGTAAGAAAGGAAACACTTTGATTTAGGTGTACAGCTGTCAAGGTTTGGAGAATGAGGATGAGGGAGAGAAAGCAGAGGGGGGGGGAGGAAGAAAGGGGAGGCAGACAAGGCATTAGAGCAAGAAGAGGAAGGAGGAGGAGGACAGTGGCAAGCTGCATTAGGCAAGACCATTCCATCCTCCTGCTCATGCCCATCATGTCCTTGTCCCCGTGCAAAGGGACTGCTCAGCTTGTTTAGAAAATGGAGCCAAAGGGAGTCATTTGTTCCTAAGCTAAGTGCCTGCTTTCAGGGTGCCCCCTTCTCCTCCTGTGAGCTGCATCCTGGGATGCTGTAGGCAAGGATGCCAAGTCAGAGCCAGGAGATGGAAGCACACCCTGGGCCTAGGAGCAACATCCTGAGGCATCACAGGTCCATGGTCCTGGTGTCCAGTGTCAAGGACCACATTTCCTATGCTGAGACCATTCCTGTAGGACCTGGGCGATGACAGAATCCAGCCTTTGATTGGTAGTCAAGAGACTCAATTAGTTTTCAAGGAAGGAGACTTCCTGTCATACACCCCCAGGCTCTGAGCCAGTTGATTCATGTGGCCCTTGACCCCAGAATGTCCCCATCTTTTGTTTAGTAAAATGCTTCTTGTTTGAGTATCTCTATTCTCTGATAAATTAATCCTCAGAAGTCGGTGACTTTTAGCTACTAGGAAAGCTGAGTCAGGAGAGTCACAAGTTCAAGGCCAGCCTGAACAATTTAGTGAGATACTGTCTCAAAATAAAATGTTAAAAGAAGGCTGAGGATATGTGTCTGGATGTGTAGCTCAAATGTAGAACACTTACCTATTATCTGGGAAGCCTCGGGTTCAATCCTCAACACTCCTTCTCCACCCAAATTTGATTTTAAAAATTAAAAACAATGCCTATGTACAGAGATAATTTTTTGAATTTCACACTTCTCATTAAACCTTCAAAACCAATATGGTGTCAGGAAAAGAAATGCAATAATTCAGCAGAAATAAAACACCAGCTAACACATTTATAGGAAATAACAAACCCCTTAATATGTTTTTCTTAAATGTAGATGATCTCAGTGCATCTAAAGGATGCTGATTAATGGACTGAATTAAGAAACAAGAACCAACTATTTTCTCTCTCCAAGAAACACACTTATCTAGTAAAGATACCTCAGGATGCTAGAGGAGCAGCCCATTCTTTCAACGGCTGAGTCCCCTCTCAAAGCCTTGTCATGCATATGAATGCACAAGGTGATGTCAGTGTGTGGACGTTCCAATATCTCCATTCCAAATATGCATTTGATGTGTGCTTAGAATACTATTTCTCCTGCTGAGAAAGGTGTGTCCTGGCATCCCCACCTCATGAATCAGTGATGAGCCACCAGCCCCTTTACATTCCATCAGAACTGCTGAGCACTGAGTACCTATGATGGAGTCCAAGTTCTTTTCCGTGGAGGAACTTTTCTTGAGGTCCGTCCTGGCATTCTGAAGTAGTGGGTATGAAGATACACTCAACGCCTTGTAAAGGGTCAGAGCCATCTCAGAAAAGTTTTGTCAGTTGTTAGAAGTAGGCATCTGTTACTTTCAGGCGAGTGCCCAACCATTTGTAGGCCCAAGGGAAGACAGCCTAGGAAGGACCAGGAGGCTGTGGAGGTGTGTGTGGATACTGGGCTAGAGAGTTCTGATCTATGTAGGACCAAGAAGTTGGACCTCTGCTGACGCTGGGCATGAAGGTCAGTCCGTCTGTGTGCACCTGTGTTGTCTTAGCTTTCCTGTAGGCTAAACATGATGTTGCCGGGATTAAACACACCGTCACACATGAGCATTTACAGTAGTGCCTAGCTCCCAGTGAACTTCAGGATGAAGTCAAACTCTGAGAATGGCCCCATTCCAAGCTTGGCCTGGGTGGTGGTCCTGAGTCGTCAACTGCTTTTGGCTGCCTCCAGCCCGACAGTGAGAAGGATGCTGGAATTACAGACGGGAGACTGTCCCTACCTGGTATTTACATGGGCTCTGGGCATCTGAATTGCAGTCCTCACATTTGTGTGGCAAGTGCTGAGCTCTCTCCCCAGCAACAATCTTGTTTTTCCTCATTGGTTTGGCCGGTGAGTGACCCAAGCCACATTTAGACTCCCTGAACCCTCATTACACTTCTTGTCAGAGTCCTACTCTATATTCTACTGCACCTCATCACATGATGACCATCACAGTAAGAGCAATAATAGCAATTTAATAAATTACTTTAGAATTTTTGGCTGACAGTAGGTCACTTAATTTACCCAGTGATGATTTCTCAGTACCCCGACCCCCATCGTATCCTTGAGAACTCTTGCTCAGTGAGAACATGTGTGGCCTAAGTGATTTAGGGATTGATGGACTGCTTCTGTTAATAGTGTTTACTTAAGCGTTTGTTGGTTTTTTACAGCTAGTTTCTTCTTCAGGTTTGGAGGCCAGTGGGAAGGCTTGGCAGGCTCGGTCAGTCCTGAGCCCTTTGTCTTTCTATCTAATAAGTGAAGTGAACAGCCTAGGGCGATGTGAGCTCATTTGTCCTCTGAGCTTTGAGCTTCCAGCCATGCATGTGGAGCTTGCATGTTTTCTGGTTCTTCAGAAGCGAGGGAGACAGACGATTTTCCCCTACTGCTTCCCTCCTACACATGCTCATAAGGGAAGTGGGTGAGGGACACATTCCCAAAGATGATGCCAGTGTTTGAACAGATACCAAGTGTTATTTGGTCTGTGTATTTGTATGAAATCTGTAGAGTGGCTCTCTCCCTATGGGAGGAAGCTGACACTAAATATTTATTTTCCAGCAACTGTCCATGTTTAGAGTGAGGCATATGTTAGACTGTTAAACCCAAAACTCACAGCTTCTCCTATTCCCAGGTCATCCATGGAATTCTTTTTTTCAAGTTTTAATCCTTTGGTTACAATATATATACTAAAACCATATGGTTCTCTCGTTCCATCTTTTATATTTTTCAATGCATATTAATGAGATGTTGGAGGCAACAGCCCTTGATTGAGAACAGTTTGTATGTGTAGCTCCAAAAACAGCACAGGCTTCCATTCCGACAAGCTACAAGCTGTTAATACATTTCAAATGTGTCGCTTGACTGAAAACAACCCTTTCCAGAATATAGTGAAAGGAGGCTGACCTTTCTCACGATACTGTTGCATCGCTGGGTGGATCCACAGACCCCCCATTTCCATGGAGCCTACATAGAGACAAGGATTAGACAGTGTGTAGAGGGGGGCTAGTGGGAAGGGTTCAGAGAAAGCGAATTCATCATTGAATTTTACATCCCATCAATTCCCTGAACGGATGATTGTCCAAGTTACTATAATCATTGATCACATCTATTCACATTACTTATCGTATCATAAAAGATAATATTTCTGGTAATGAGCCCAAGGCAGTGTGCTGCCCTGGAGTCTGGGAAGAAATATCTGCCTCCCACTCACTTTTAAAACTCAAATCTGTGCTAGTTAACTTTGTTTCTCTTAGTACTCGACATAACTTTCACTAAGCAGCTATGGAGCATGAACAGGAGACAGACCAGGACTGTCAGTCTGGCCTGGACTGTCTGGGCATAGCTATGCTCTTATCCAGCAAGGGTTGCCCTCTGGAGAAGTGGATAGCCAAGGGATAAAGCAGAATGGCCCAACCATGGAGGGAAGTGGGAGGGCAAACCTTGTTCAGGACATACTGGGTCCCTTTACACATCCAGAGATCCCCTGGCGCAGTGTAACATGGTGGCTAGAGTGATTTGCTTAGGTTGTTCTCTGAAAGTGCTGAGGGCCAGGGAGGGTTCAGTCAGCCAAGTGCCTGCACTGGAGACATGAGGAACTGAGTTTGATCTCCAGAACCTGTGTGAAAGAAAAAAAGGAAGAAAGATAGACAGAAGGAAAGAAAGAAAACCAAAAAACCAAAAACCTCAGTGTGGTTGTGAACATTGATAATCCTAGTGGTGTGGGTAAGTGGATCTTTGGGACTCATTGGCCAGGCAGCCAAGGCTAAGGGGTAAACTCCGAGCTAACAAGAAAGCCTGTCTTAAAACACTGAGACAACATCACCAAATGTCTTTTTCTTACCTCTACATATATATATATATATTTATATATGCACACATATCCACACCCACAAACACCCATACGTATAAGCGCGCGCACACACACACACACACACACACACACTCTGAGTTCTTTGAGCCAGCCTCTCTGCCCCGGGACTGGAAATGGGTGATCTGGTTTGAAACAGAGCCGGCTCTTTCTCAAAACTTCCTCATTTTGGGTGGGTTAATTCTGTGCTGGGGAAAGTTCTGGCAGAATTGGTCTGAGCACCAGCCAGATGTTACGTTAGAAATAACAGGGCTTACTTCCGTTCTCTGTTTGATTTTCCATGAACTTGTAGATGTTCATTTCCTAAACCTGGCTTTTGTTATTTCACTTGACCCAGCCAATATAAATGGTGTTGGGCTATTATTGCCATCGGTAGCCTTTTCTGCCTCACAAAAACGGGGGGAAAAAGTAGCACATTCATTCCTCCAAAACCGGTGTGACCTGGTTGCTCTTTGAAAGATGTCTGAAGTGAAAGGAACCTCCCTGAACTTTGCCCTGTGTGTGTTCTCCTTTTTGTGTGGAGAACTTGGGTCTATGAGGCCATCCTGAGAGTGATCAGGGACTGTCATTCAAGGACAAGTTTCTTAGAAGTGGAGACAGAAATGAGGACACTCCAGGAATAGTTCCTTCACGGTTCATTCTCGGGAGGAAGCAGCGTTGGGCAGTAGAAAAGCTGAAGCAGCTTCCAGCCTCCTTGAGCCTTCATGTGCCGTGTGGTCCCTAAGGAGCCAAGGGTCACAAGCAGCAAGCAGAATTAGGATGTCCTGTAGTTCCCCCTCATCAATGTGACCTGGAATATGTGGGTGTGGACCAGCTCCTGTCTAGCCAAGGTTTGCTCTCTGGAGAGGCGAGCAGCCAAGAGACAAAAGCACCATCAGCCCAGGAGCAGAGATCTGGGGTGGGGTTTGGGGACTGGTCCAGGAAGTCTGCACTGAGGAGTGACTGCTGTGCTTGGCTCTCACCGGCTTTGTGTCCCTCCTGTCATTAGGTAGTGGCCAGATCCAGCTGTGGCAGTTCCTGCTAGAACTCCTGTCTGACAGCTCGAACTCCAACTGCATCACCTGGGAAGGGACCAACGGGGAATTCAAGATGACAGACCCTGATGAGGTGGCGCGGCGCTGGGGGGAGCGGAAGAGCAAGCCCAATATGAACTATGATAAACTCAGCCGCGCCCTCCGCTACTACTACGACAAGAACATCATGACCAAAGTGCACGGGAAGCGCTATGCCTACAAGTTTGACTTCCACGGGATCGCGCAGGCCCTGCAGCCCCACCCTCCCGAGTCATCCCTGTACAAATACCCCTCTGACCTCCCGTACATGGGCTCCTATCACGCCCACCCCCAGAAGATGAACTTTGTGGCTCCGCACCCTCCAGCCCTCCCAGTCACATCGTCTAGTTTCTTCGCGGCCCCAAACCCATACTGGAATTCACCGACTGGGGGCATTTACCCGAACACTAGGCTCCCGGCCAGCCATATGCCGTCTCACCTGGGTACTTACTACTAGAGACCAGAGGGAGGCCTTTCCCAACAGTGTACAATCACCTAGCAGTCACCACAAACTCAGAGAACACACATCGGAAGTGCCTCATGAGGAATGGAAAAGGTTGACCAGAGCTGGGGAAGGAAGCCGGAAACCAAAGACTCACAGGGGAGGGTGGGCGTCACCCAAGTATTACTACAGAAATAGAGGAAGCTCAAAATATAATGTACATGGACGTATAACCTGTGGTCCCCCCTTGTCAAAGACATTGTATGTAGAAAAGCATGACATGGTAAGGACACACTGCCAAAGAAAGTGGCCTTAAGTAGTGTACAAAGTGTAGAGTATGGGACCTTGCTTGTACCAACCAGGATTCAGTGAAAGCACTAGAGATAACAGTCACACAGTCTTGGCCTAACATACCATTTAGAATGTCATTTGAAGGGAAACTACCTGTGTTTAGAAACAGAAACATATCAAAATGAGGTAAGACAAGAGAGATGGCAGCCCCTCCACAAACCACACTGTGGATTTTCTTGGCTGGCATTTGCTGTTTGGGATGAAGTCAGATTCTTTCCATTTGATAGAGAGATACCAGGTCTGTCAAACTGTGAAGATGACCCAAAGTCTCATCTCCTTTTCAGTATTATGGGAACTGTGAGCCACGTGGTGGGCAGGGCACGTGTCTGGTGTGTGAGTATGTGATTATAGAAAAAAGTGAGAGAGGTGGAAGTAGAGGAGGAGGGGTTGTGGGAAGGAGTGGAGGAGAAAGAGAAGAGGAGGGAGAAGAGGAGGATAAAGAGGAGGAGAGGAATAGAAGGCAATCATTCAAGCCATCAAAGCTGAATGTAGGACATCTTGGGACCAAAGAGCATGAATCGTGATGTTTGATGCTGTCGGTGTTGAAAGAAAGTTCACAGTTTTATGGAGGACTGGGAGCAGTAGTATTCAAAACCAAAAATACATCTCTGTGAAAAGAAAGTCGTAACTGGAATTGTCTAATATTCAAAAAAAGTTCAGGACCTCTGCATTTGGTGGAGGCTTTGTCCTTCATGGGAGCAGTCGAGAAGCGACCTGTGTGGCCGCTACAGTCAGAGAGACCAAGCAGGCATTGTGGGTAGGTGGGCTCCAGTTTTCCTTAATGAGTCGCGAACGCTGTGCGTTCGTCAGAACGAAGTCTACAAGTCAATGGGTTTTTTCTTTTTATATAATAATTATATAACTTATGCATTTATACACTACGAGTTGACCTCGGCCAGCCAAAGACACACCACACACAAAAAAGGAGACAATCAACGATATGATGTGGCCTTGAATTTTAACTCTGTAATGCTTAATGTTTACAATATGAAGTTACTAGTTCTTAGATGCAGAATGTATGTAATAAAATGAGCTTGGCCTCTCATGGCGATCCAGAATGGCAGGGGTCTCGGGTTGCACTTCTTTACTGATGAACGGTTGCCAGCAGAAATCTGAGCTGAAGCTTATGGATTTGTGTTATAGTCATTGTCCCAGAACTTAAGCAGATGGGAGTAATACAGATAGAGTGTTACACACACAAGCAGCATGGACCTCTTGTCTCCCAAGAGCCCACTCTTTCTCATCTTCATCCAATTCTACAGCAGAAAGAGCAAAGGTTTCACCCTGGAGCCTCCATGACTGTCCCTTCAGCCTCTTCGGATGAGATTATCACTGAGTAATTCCAGTTCTGCACTGGCCACTGGTCCCCCAGATTATTGTCATGTTCATAAAATGTTTGTTGAGTGATGAACAAGCCCTTGTTAAGCCAGATTTTCTCATCCTTGGTAAATCAGTCATGGGCAGCTGCAGGATCCTGTTCCAAAGTATCAAGGGAGGGCCAAGCAGATGGTCATGCTAAAGCACTTGCCTTGTAAGCATGAGGACCCGAGATTGATCACTAGAAGCTATGTAAAATGTCAGGTGTGGTGGCCCACTCCTACAATCCCATCTATGGCAAGATGACAGCCAGAGATATGCAGGACCCTGGAGCTCTGGCCAGCTAGCCTAGCCTGCTTTGTGAGGTTCTAGGCCAACAAGAGACCTTGTCTCAAAAAAGCTGTGGAAGGTACTTGAGGACTGACGCCTGAGGCTACTTCTAACTCTGACCTCTTTGTGCACACACATAGACGCGTGTGCACCCCCCCACAAATACACACACACACACACACACACACACAAAGCCCCAAGGCCCAGCTTCTGAGCTTACCACTTGGCTCTTCATTCTGAAGACTCCCCGTCTAGACTTGGGTTCTGACTTAAACACTCTGGAATCCTCTGAAAACTTCACTTTGGGAATCCTCATTCTTGGGGTGACCTTCCCAGCTCTCCTTCCCACACACTCTATTTTCTGTGATCAAGCACCAGTTTCCCTGGACATCATTCATTGTCTTCACAGATGCTGCCCGCCTGGACCAAGGTGAGGGGTATAGGGCTGTCACTCAAGCCACCTGCTGGGAGCAGCGGGCCCAGGCCCCTTCTGAGCCTGAGTCAGTTTTAAAATTGGCCCCATCGTCTAAGCTGTTTCACGTCTTAGCAGTTTCAGGACTCGGTTTGCACTTTGTAATCCCTTCGCCATGATTCAGTGCGCCTGCCAAACCCCTGCGCTGGGGATATTTTGGCAACAGTCTGTGAACTCAGTAGGATATGATTACCGAAGCTTCAGAGGCCCCTCATTACTGGGATTGAGAGGAGTCCAGACATCAATCATCCTGCAGCAGCTTGGGAAAGGCCACAGATGGCCTGCATCTCCTTAGGACTAAAGACAGCAGAGCATCGGCCCTGGCTGCTGGGGGGCGACCACATGGTTCTTGAGGGGAAGATGAGTGATTTGATTTTGCAGCGCAGAACTGGGGCACACCTACATTCTTTGTATAATGTACAAATTCATTTGGATAATCACTCAATTCCTCCTTTCAAGACTGCATTGTGAGCGAAATAATAAAAACAAGCCATGGCCATTAGATTCAACCCTAACAGATGTTTTTAGTTAGATCCCTCACAGCCCCCAATCCCATCCTCTGCCCACTTGGGTTTTTGTGAGCCCAAGGACTAGCCTGAGCAGCTGGGTCATTTTGAGATAACATGGTAGTGCTGGTTCTCTAGCACACATAAGGCTCAATCATCTTGAGCGAGTGGTAAAGGTCAAGGTCTGGGTCTGTGCTACGTGGACTCCAAGGCTTCTCCAGGGCTCTGACCTGCCCCTTCTCCCCTCATTGTGTCCGTCTCTCCCTCGATGTGTCCCTTGCATGAACCCCTCCTGCTGGCAATGCGTGTCATCAATGATCTTTGGGACTTTGTACTGGGTGCAGTCCCCAGATCTCAGTCAAGACTTGACCCTGACTCTATCACGCCCTGCCACACCACACCACACCACCATCTCTAGTCAGAGACCCTTGCATATTGGAAGGTCCCGGATGGCATGCTTTGCTGTCTTGTTTCCCTCTGAATAGGTGACAGCTGGCTCACCAGCCCTTGAGAGCTAGATCTCAAACAGCTGCCCTCAGAGGGCAGGCGCTGTATCCGAGGAGGCAGAGGCCTGCCAGCTGGGGAAATGATGCATACCAGGGAAACGCGGGTGTCCCATACATTTTGTAAATACCAGGTTAGATAACTACTATAGAATATAAGGGGTGGCTGGCTGGCAGACGTGGGTCACGGGCATTGAGGGTTTTGATTCCATTCTCTGCTTCTTCTGGCTGCCATGGAAGGAGATCCATTGCAGGCTGTCGTTGTAATGGAGCCACTTTCCTGGCCACTCCTTCCTCCCCCCTGGGACTGAAGCCATGAGGCCCAGTCAATCCTCCCTTGAGTTGTTTCTGTCAACTGGACGTGCATCCTGGTGAGAGGACACTGGCCTAGCATGCACGAGGCTCTAGGCTACATTAAAAGTGTGCTACGATGCCACCCATGTCACAGACACCTAGACATGGGACGGAAAAGCAGCATGTGGATCCGGGTCAAGGCTACGGCAGCAGTGACGCTGACAGGAATTAGAGTTAGCACGGAAGGAGCCACCCGTGGACCAGGCACAACCCATGTGTCCTAGTTAGTTCTTTAAAATGTATTTATTTTTATTTGATGCATATGAATGTTTGCACATATGTGTGTGCATTGCATGTGTGCCACGCCTGTGGAGGCTAGAAGAGGGTTTTCAATTCCCTGAAACAAGAGACAGGTGTTAGCTGCCATGTGAGTGCTAGGAGCTGAACCCCAGCCCTCTGTAAGAGCAGGGAGTGCTCTTAACCCCTAAGGCATCTCTCCAACTCCTATTCCAGTTACACTGTCAGCTTGACACATCTAGAGTCACTTGAGGAGAGAGTCTACATTGAAGGATTGCCCAGTTCAGATTAGCCTGTGGGCATGTCCAAGAGAGATTGTCTTGATGGTTAATTGTAGCTAGAGTTTTCCTGCCTGGCCCACAGTCAGGGCAAATCTCTCTCACCTGCCAGTCCCACAGCCGTCAGACCCGACCAAGTAAACACAGAGACTTGTATTGGTTTCAAACTGTATGGCCATGGCAGGCTTCTTGCTAACTGTTCTTTCAGCTTAAATTAATCCATTTTTATAAATCTATACCTTGCCACATGGCTCGTGGCTTACCGGCATCTTCACATGCTGTTTCTCATCGTGGCGGCTGGCAGTGTCTCTCTGACTCAGCCTTCCACTTCCCAGCTTTATTCTCCTCCTTGTCCCGCCTACACTTCCTGCCTAGCCAATGGCCAATCAGTGTTTTATTTATTAACTAATTAGCAACACATTTGCCATACAGAACATTCCACAGCAGTTAATTGATGAAGGAGGGCCCAGCCCACTGTGGGCGGCACCACTCCCTGGGCAGGAGGTCCTAGGCTGTGTAAGAAAGCTAGCTCAGCCTGGCAGGAAGTAAGCCAGGAGGCAGCCTCTTCCAAGGTTTCTGCTGCACTAACTGGTTATGAATGCATTCCCTGGTTGGAGCTAACAATGCGTTAAGTAACAAGGACCCCAGCTTCAGGTTCCTGCCTTGAGTTCCTGGCCTGAGCTGTGGACTGTGTCCTGAAAGGGTAAGACAAGACCTTTACGCCATAAGCTGCATTTGGTTAGAGCATTTTACCAGAGCAAAGGAAGGGATACTAAACATTGTGTTGTCTTCTTGCCTCTTCCAACTGTTCCTATGAGACTGGCTTTTACATTTATTGTATTTAATTTGTTGGTTTTTTTTAGAATTTCATGAGTACAGTATTTACTTCATTTCCACTATATCCACTCTCCTTACTCTTCTCATGTCTTTGCCCCATCCCCTCTTCCTGACCTTGTATTCTTTAGTTGCACACACACACGCACACACACATGCACACACACACACGCACACACACACACCCTGCTATATCCATTTAGTGTTGTTCTTATGCCCCTGTGTTTAAGGCTGGCTGCTTGGGATTAGATAACCTACTGGGGCCAGGTGCTGGAGAAGACTGATTCTCCCTCTCTCAGCCACTAATCCCCCGCAGCTGTTCACCTGCCGGTGGAGTCTTGTAAGATTTTCCCCGTCCATGCTGGCATGCCCACTGGTATGGTCACTGTTCGGCAGCCATGTTGTTGAGACGTCATAGGTGAGCATCCCGGTAGTATGCAGAAGACAGTATCTCACAGCAGACATTCTGGACATCTTTCTCTCTTCCTCCGCATTCCCTGCGCCTTAGGTGCATGGGTTGTGCTACAGACGTTATCCAGTGTGTGTGTGTGTCTCTGTCAGCTTTCCTCTGCAGTTTTGACTAGTTGTAGATTTCTGTGATGGTCTTCTACGAGGCAACCATTTAAAACTGCTTAAGCCATTTACCTGGATCTCCCAGGGTCAGAGGCAAAACGAATGCATGTTGCGCCCCAACTTCCACACTGATCAGCTTCACGCTGACCTAAGAGCCAATGCAAGGGTCATCGTGTGAGTAAGACCACATCTGTCAACTACTCACCCAGCCTTGGCACATCTCGTGACGGTAGTAAGCTACATGCACAGCTGAACCAGGAGGTTTAGCTATTAGAGGCTCTGGAACGTTCCCAGGTGCGTGCCCCTGAGATTCTGTGTGCACACTGACCTGAGCCCAGTTCGTCTACAGATGAAGACGTGAGGAACACCCCTGCCTGTTCAGAGCTGCGGGGCCCAGGCAAAGACAGAAGCAGCTAGTTTACTTCTGAGCCCTTTCCTACTTAGTGGGAAGCCTGCCTCCTGCAGCACCCAGGCAAACAGCACGTGCCGTGGGGGGCTGTTGGTCACAGCCTGCTCAGCATTAGACACGGCTCAGCAAAGAGTGTCAGCCTGCTTCAGGGACCCTCAACCCATCTCCAGACTAAGCATTTCCACCTCAGAGTTGGCAGAGGAGGCTGGCTGTGAGCCAAGGCTGCCTCTCCACGTGGGCTCCGGAGGTA